TAACAATGGCCTGTAACCCTCAGCATTCCCACTGTTAGACGCAGCACGAACCAGTGTTAAGAAGCATTGTTGGGACGCAACACGAGCAAATGTTGGAGAAGCCGAGGTTGGGTCCATGGAACCCTGCGACTCAAGTACATGAGTTCTGAATTTTCAATTTTCAGCAGCGCATGAAGTGCATGGTCAGGGGTGATCTCTGCATCGCACACAAGGTCGATGGTTCGATCTCGCGCTCATGGCTCACCAAGCCTTCCATCTCCCTGAAAGCGGTAAGTTGGTACCAGACTGTTCACAGACTTGTCTGGTATGATAAGCAACATTGACTTGATACAGCGGTAGGTCACCGCGAGTCTGCAAATGGCAGATATGCATTCGATCACCTCGAATGAAGCTAGAAATGAAGACGAATGCATGGCGCATCCTTCAGGAATTGATCAACGCCGGAAGCTTTATCCTTTCAAGAGCTTTGAAAATTGTTCCTCTGGTCTAACTATAGAATGTGAGCAAAAAGACTTCAAGTCGACGTTCGTTCAGAAAAGAAAACGATACAGCCTTTATGGCACATGCTAAACCATACTTATGTTCAAAAACATTACGTTATGCTGGAACTCTTGAAGGAAAACGCAAGGAATCTCGCTTCTGTAAATAGCAGCGCCGTACGGAGAAGTGTCGCGTCTCTTACGGTAAGTGATGAAGATTTCTTTAGATGAATCCACTTGAAACTTCTTGATGTATCACAACGATCTCCGTAATCAGATGATTGTATATGTTGATTCATCTGATATGTTGTGTAAATTGAGAGATTAATGAGGGGACTGAGTGACTGGCTTCAGAATTTTTCCAGGAAATGTGTACGAAAAGTGAACAACAAAGAATTTTAATGAAGCTTGTTCGGAAAAAGAAGCATGTGGTTTTCATAGTTAGCACCAAATCAAACATCACCTGTATCACCTGTCGCCCCGTTGATCGTTGAGTGACTCGAGCGGGTACCACCAACACTTCCATTTTCCCTATCGCGTGCAAGAGTAGCCCAGTGGGTCCTCCTCGCTCTAGGAATTCGCTGAGCATCATATTTTTCTTCTATAGCTTTCGTGAAGGAATTCGGACCAATGGGTCGGTGAGTCTTCCTGTAGAGCACTTGATGTTCCGAGAAACACAGTCGGTAACGGCTCTTGTTCATCGGTTGCCGTTGAAGCGCATCACGTGTCCGCCCCACCTTATTTTCGATATCCTGGCGTGTAGAACGGGTCTCTGATTTTCAATCGTTGACGTAGGTCGGAACTTCGGATCCTTTCTCTCACTTGCGAGAAAACGGGATACAACTAGCATCGACCTTTCGACTGCGCCTTCGATAACGCCAAGTGACCTTTCATCCTGCTTATGTAGCAACCAGGTTTCTGCTACATAGGTTAGGGCAGGGATAATCGTCGAGTCGAAAAGGTGGGCGCGGAGTAGTAGGATGTTCTTTGTCCTCTTCACTACATCTTCGACGCTCTTAAACGTTCCCCAAGCCGCTCGTTCTCTCTCACTCTGGGGCTAGGTCGTTCATCTTGTTGATTTCACGACCTAGATAGACGTAACCGGAGCATTCGGAGATCGTCGTTCCGTTGAGCGTGAATGGGCACTCGAAACCCATCCGTTCCTCATAAACACTGTCTTCGTTAGATTTAGTTGAAGACCGATTTTTCCACAGGCGTTATCGAAATCGGTCAACATTCGTTCCGCTTGACTGATGTTTCGTGTTATGAGAACGATATCGTCAGCAAAGCGAAGATGGTTAATTGTCGACCGTCAATTTTCATTCCTATATCGTCCTATTCTAATGTTCGCATGACGTTTTGTAGGGTGGCAGTGAATAGTTTTGGCGAAATTGTATCGCCTTGTCGAACCCCTCTTCTTACGTCAATGGTGATATTGTTGGAGAATGGAGATATTTTGATCGTGAAATCTTCATAAAGCTCACAGGGATCATTATGTACCGAGTAGGGACGCCCTTCTTATCCAGAACCTCTACAATCGCCTCTGTTTCCACTGAATCGAAGGCATTCTCCAAATCGATGAAAGTGAGACAGAGTGGTTGCTTGTACTCTCGTGAAACTTCAGTGAGTCTTGTAATCGTGTGGATGTGGTCTATAGTACTAAATCCTTTTCGGAACCCTGCTTGTTCGCATGGCTGTCCTTCGTCCAGTGTTCTGTCAATCCTGTTTAGGATGACTCGAGTAAAGAGTTTATAGACAACGGACAGCAAGCAGATTGGGCGATAATTGCCTATGTCGTGAAGGTCTCCCTTTTTGAACAACAATACGGTCTTGCTGGTTTTCCATTGAATAGGGACCTTGCATTTTTGACAGGTAGCGAGTGAAGAGCCGAGCCAGGGTGTTGATGAGAACTGGTGGCACGTTCTTCAGGTGTTCTGGTCTAATCCTGTCTGGACCGGGTATTGTTCTGTTCTTCACCGACGATATAGCATGTCGGATTTTGCAAGGGAGAACCGGTGGAACAAACATATTTGCCCTCTTTCAATTTATATGACGGTAAGAGGACTGCCTAGCGAAGAGATTCGAGGTATTGGTGGATGATTTTCTCCATAGCCCTTCTCGAAGCTGCAAGTGTCGCGTCAGGGTATCGGATTGCAATCATTTTGGTCTTACAGTTGGCGAAGCCTCGCTGGGCTTTGCGAATGCTCTTCATAGCTTCTGCAGCTTCTGCCATAACTGCTGCTCTTCTCTCTTTGAGGTCTTCTTTTATCGCTTCTCTGCAGCGTTTCGAAATTGGACGTAAGGTTTCGGTTGCCTGCAGCTCGCGCGATTCCACGTTGACGTATCAGCTCGAGTGTATGCGGAGACAAGCGTCTTTTCGTGACCTTAGGACTCTCGGCTTTCATAGCGCTAACGTGAAGATACTCAACGAGCCGATCGTATTCTTCGTCGATGTTGTCGACAGTGGCATCTTTCCAGGAGCCGACTAATGATCTGAATACATCCCATTCTAAGGTTGTTCTGGAACTTCGTTGTTTGAAATTAGCGGCTCTCTCTCCTTCTCGTGAAAAACGGAACGTTGCGCGAAGGAGGCGATGGTCTGATCCCGTGTAGAACTTAGGGACAACAGCGACATCGGTCAGGCAAAACCTTCGATTTACTAAGATTGATCTATTTCGTTATGATACTCTCCATTGGGAGTCTCCCACGTCCATCGCTGAGAAAAAGGCTTTTGGAATTACGAGTTACCATGGATGGTTTTGAGTCGTGATGATAAAATCAGATAGCCTCTCACCCTGTTCATTCCATTCTAGTCCGTGGGTCCCCAGGTGACGTTCTTCAGACGTTCTTCTAGATCCAATTTCTGCATTAAAATCTCCGACAATGACCTTGAAGAATGCATGATCTTCTCTGAAGAATTTTTCGAGGTCCATATCGAATGCTTCGACTTCGTCTTCGTCATAGCTTGATGTTGGTGCGTAAGCAACGAAGATGGTCGAACCCGGCATAGAACCACATCCTTTCAGCTGTAATCGCCGATACGGGTTGTTAGTTGCTCAAACGAATCAATTTTCACTGTCAAATTTGACTTGACTAGGACGCCAACGTCGCCGACACCTCTGCTATCGCATGTTCCAAGGAGCAGTTCTTCTCCGGTGTCATAAATAGCGTGAAAAGGATGGCGTCTTCTCGTCTCAGCCAGGCCAATAAGCCGTACCTTATCCTTCTTGCTTGAATTAATAGATGTTCTACAGCGGTTCTGAGAGCAAGGGTTATGCATTGTAGGTGCAGATCGTCATATTAGTCCATTTCGATCTTGGCAGCCTAGTATTGCGCTGAGATTTCAGCAGCCTCTCCGTACTCGTCCTATCGTCCTACCTGTCGCTGGCGTAAGAGGAGCTTTTTCGGGGTCAGGGAAATGAGGCCCACATTTGTTACTGTTTTTGGCATTTTGATACCCAACGTATAGCTTGCCAGGCTCTAAACGTGGGGGCTGGGTACATACGAGTAGCTTGCCAGTCTCTCTTGGAGGAGCGGGAGGAGCTTATTTGTTGGAGGCGACTCCTAACCGCCTCCCATGTACTTCCCAGCCGCTTGATTGCAGACTTTTGGCCGACTTGACTCCTAGAAATAGAGTTTTGTCAAGTCGGCGCTGCACAAGCAGGGAGCTCGTCTGGTGAATCTACCTGTGTCTCTGGGAAGCACACGGTCGCTTTTGGTTCGCGCTAAGTTCCCCTATCCACCACCTGAGGACGTTCCACGTGCCCTCGTACGCGACTAACCGGGCGGGATCCCTCAAGGAGGGAGGTCCGCGGAAAGATACATGTAGCAGTACAATAACCTATGACAATTCTATCCAACTGATTCTAAGATCCCGCTGAAAATTCAGTATAATGTGACAGAATATTTATACAGGTCGGAGGTCTGCTATAGTATCGCTAGTGCCAGACGCACGTTTTGAGTTTTTTCTCGCCAAGCCGCATCAGTGCGCATGCCTTTCGGTTCACTTCTACAACTACGGTAGCTGTGGCAAACATGTATCACTGCTCGTCAAGTAAAAAGATTGTTTGAAATATTCTGCCAGATTATAGTGCTTTGGGCAAGGTCTCAAAAACAGTCGATTGGGTAGCAGTTCGGAGAAAAATACGTCATACCTTCGGCGCGCATTATTTTCACTACTGGCACCTGAGCATAGCTTTCTCTAAACTTTTAGTAATTATTCGATAATTGGAAATCGTTGATTCCAAATGCAAGTTCAGTCCTCCATAGAGCGCTATAAGAAAGTAAAGAGCCATGTTTTTCATACGAATATCATCCACAAAAAGCATATATGTGGTAAAAAAGTCGCATTGTATGGCATTATCATAGAAAACTGAAAATCTTCAAAAAAGGATTAAACGATTGAAATCCGCCTCGCGCAGCGGTATGGGCGGGATCCCTCAAAGAAGGAGGTCCATGGGCGATTACTATATCGTGATAGATAGTTCGATAAATTGCAGTGACGTTGGACATCAACACCGAGCGTTCGTGGTGTAATGGTTAGCATGGATGCCTTACAAGCCTTCGACTGATGTTCGATTCCACCCGAACGCAAATGTTTTGCTTCTTTGCACACAGCAGAGATCACCGATTGCTCCATCGAAAACAGCTGCCATACTAGTGTTTAGCTGATGTGATACTGCTTTTACGTCCGAATATACTGCATATCAAAGTGTCTTCATTATATCGTGATAGAATGTTCGATAAACTGTAGTGAGGTCGGACATCAGCCGAGCGTTCGTGGTGTAATGGTTAGCATGGATGCCTTCCAAGCATTCGACGGGTTCGATTCCCCCAAACGCAACTGTTTTGTTTGTTCACATAGATGAGAGAATCACATTGCTTAATAGAAAACAGCTGCCATATCACTGCTAAACTATTTAATGCTGCTTAGTGTCCCGAAAATACTTCATATCTATGGTGCTATTAATATATCGTGATAGAATGTTCGATAAATTGCAGTGAGTCGGACATCAGCCGAGCGTTCGTGGTGTAATGGTTAGCATGGATGCCTTCCAAGCATTCGACGGGGTTCGATTCCCCCGAACGCAACTGTTTTGTTTGTTTACATAGATAAGAGATTCGATTGCTTCATAGAAAACAGCTGCTATACTAGTGTCTGACTGACGAAATACTGCTTTTGCGTCTCCAATGTAATTCATATCAAAAGTGCTACTTCTATATCGTGAAAAATGTTTGATAAACTGCCTTGAGGTCCCACATCTACCAAGCGTCTGTGATATAATGTTTAGCATGGACTACATCTTCGATGCTCTTGAACGTTCCCCAAGCCGCTCGTTTCCTTCTGCTCAACTCTGGAGCTAGGTCGTTCATCATGTTGATTTCGCGACCTAGATAGACGTGACTGGAGCAATCGGAGATTGTCGTTCCGTTGAGCGTGAATGGGGCATTCAGAACCCATCCGTTCCTCATGGACATAGTTTTCGTTAGATTTAGTTGAAGACCAATCTTTCCACAGGCGTTATCGAAATCGGTCAACATTCGCTACGCTTGGCTGATGTTTGGTGTTATGAGGGCGATATTGTCAGCAAAGCGAAGATGGTTGTCGACCGTTAATTACTCCCATATCGTCCCACTCAATGTTCGCATGACGTTTTGTAGGGTGGTAGTGAATAGCTTTGGCAAGATTGTATTGCCTTTTCGAACCCCTCTTCTTACGTCAATGGTGATATTGTTGTAGAATGGAGATATTTTGGTCGTGAAATCTTTATAAAGCTTACGAAGGATCATTATGTATCGAGTAGGGACGCCCTGGTTATGCATAGCCTCTATAACCGCTTCTGTTTCCAATGAATCTAAGGCTTTCTTCAGATCGATGAAGTGAGACAGGATGGTTGTTTGTTGTCTCGTGTAACTTGAATGAGTCAAACATACAGTTAAAAAATATGCTGGAGCTTTTGAAGGACAAGGCAAGGAATCTCGCGCTGTAAATAGTAGCGTTTCTCGTTGAGCTGAGCGATTGCTTATAGTAAATAACGGAGAATTCTCTAGCTGAATTTACTTTGGGGCTTCATAACATATCATAACGGGCTTAAATAATCGTCTATATGTTGTGTCAATTGAGAGACTAATGAGCTAGAATTAAATGACAGGCTTATAAATTTTGCTGCAACATCTGAGATTGTGAATAACAAGGTATTGGAATGGATCTCTGTCCAGAAAAAGGAGCACACACTCTCTGTGGAGAACACGAAATCAAACATGTGATCAAAAAACAACCAGTATTCGTTTTAATTGGCCGCCAATTGTGATGTTATGATGTTACAATATACCCAATAGTGTAGAGTGATGTACAAAAACGGTTGAACACGCGCTCTCTGGAAGTGAGATCTGGGTTCGAATCCTAGCTGACGCAAAGTGTTTGCACACCCCTTTACACTGTTGTGTCAGACACCATTTCGTTATTTGCTACCCTAAAGACGGAGTAAGGAATCCATTCCTGTCGATAGAAGTGGTGAACTGTCACTTGCGCTAGGTGATGAAGGTTTTCGAAGATGATTTTATTTCAGGGCTTCAAATTGTAACACAGCGGGCTCAAGTAATCGTCTATATGTTGTGTCTATTGAGAGATTAACGAGGTAGAATTAAGTGACAGGCTTATATATTACGCTGGAACACTCGAGAATGTGAGCAACAAGGAATTGGAATGGATCTCTGTCCAGGAAAACAAACACACGTCTCTGTGGAGGACATCAAATCAAACATATGGTCAAAAAACATTTCGTTATTCTAATACCCTAAAAATAGAGCAAGGAATTTATTCCCGTCGATAAAAGTGTTGAACAGTTGCTTGCGCTAAGTGATGAAGATTTTTGTAGACAATTTTACTTCAAAGCTTCAAAATGTATAATAACGGATTCCATCAATCATCCATATGTTCTAAGATCTAAAAGATCAGTAGACTGGATTAAATAAGAGGTTTTAGAATTCAGCGCTTACTATAGTGTGCATTTAATAGAAGTCCACTTTGATTTCTTGTGCTTTCTAGAAAAGCTTGTTTTTTTCTTACATTCTGCAGCAAATTGTTGTTGTTAGACATAAAAGCTGTATTTTGTACGGTTTGTAGCCTTTCTCACTTCGTACATGACAGTTCCTACGTTAAATGTTAATTAAGTGGGAATTTTTATAGCGTTCAGGTGAGTCGAGTGATATTGAAGAGTCACCTTTTTTTGACTTTAGGAGACGATGATGGCTACGACCTTCCAGCACTTCGATATGGGATAAAGGTTAAAGCTCTTGGCGTTGTTCAATCTCTGAAGGATACGCCATGCTTTCGTCTTCAATCTTTAACTTCGTCTGAGGTGATTGAATGCATATCTGGGCCTTTACAATGAGTGACGGTGTCCTAACGCTGTATCAAGTCAGTGCTGCTTATCCTCCCGGACAAGTCTGATACCAGCCTGGCTTCAATTTTCCGTCCCCGGAGGGATGATGACTTGATGAGCCATGAGCGCGAGATCGAACCATCGATCGTCTGCATGACGCAAAGCACCTCTAACCACTCCGACCCATGCGCGACGGATAGCGGTCTCTTAATGGGAGTAAATTAGTTTGTCAGTCTCTCCTCTAACATTGTGTTGAGAGCACCAGTTCGAAAGTTTGTTACAAAGTTTCTCTGTAGAACTTGCAAACAGTTTGGTTATCTATCCCATAGTATCTAAAAGAAATGAATCAACGAACCTTTGGCGAAACATGTGAGTCTCTCTTTATCGATGTTCAGCATAATACTGATGGAAGAAAGACTGCACTGAAAGGAGAACAGAATAACAATAGTCTGATTGAAAATAAAAATGTAAGAAATTCATGTGCGTAGACTCAATCCTATGACGAAAAATCAAACTTCAGACGAAATAAGTGTAATTAGAATGACAAGTGTATCGTTTTCCACGCAAACTTCGCTTACGTTGTCAATTGTTTCGAACTAAATTCATTCACAAAGAAATCACAAAGTAACCTCCAAAGCGTGGACATTTGTTTTTATTCAATATAGGCGTCAACTACTTGTGAAGCTACTACCTTCGACTAACGATCTCGAATAAAATGTTCCGAGACTGTTATTTGTTCGGAGTCACTCCCCCTTCCTCCCTCCTTAGTCCCGTTGATTGCTGAGTGGCTTAAGCCGGTGCCGCGAAGTTTAAATTTCTACCTTAATCAAAACAGTGGTCAAGGTGAACACCAATAAGTTCCGTTGTTGCGTTCACACATAGTAGTCACTCAGCTCGTTCTCTAACTCAAACTAGTGCACAGTTCAGTTGTATTATGACTCCTTTCTTTTATTGTTTTTTGGCAGCAAAGTAGTCCGGTTACTTACAGATTGCCTCACCGGTGTAAATCTATAACCGCTTTACGTGGCCGGTCCATCGTACCACACCTAATTTTCAGCTATTGTAAACATGCTCGTTTTTCGGCTATATACGGTTGTCCTTCGTCGGCAGGCAATAAATCCTTGGTAAATAAAAAAATGGAGGACCTGTTAGCATGACATGATTGTAGAATTGCATTTCTCTATCCATGTATGAGTGGGAGTACTATTAACTACTACATAATACTGCGATTATTAATGCAAGCACAGCAGCGTCATCTATATTTTTTTCTGATATAGAATAATAGAGCTTTTTCCGACCTGTGGCCGGCACAGCATTTGCATTCGACAAGCCATCGATTGACTATGAAAAATGTGACAAAAGAACTCTCTGCGACAAAAAAATCAGCTTAAAGTGCATGAAATGTAGTCGAAATGTCGCGAAAAGTTAAACGACATTTGTAGATGGACAAACTGATTAACAGCACAACTCATGTCACCTTTCACTGCCGTAAGCGTTTACTCAGTCGTTCACATCAGGATGGATTTCATCGGTCAAGTTTGAAGACGAACAGCTGTTGCGATTTTTGTCTGTTCGCTCATTCAGAATACATCGCTAGCATGGCTTTGTTATTCTCATGGTCCAGAATCGATTCCTAGTTTTGGCGTATGCGAGCCGTCGCAATCACCATTGCCCTCCTAACGACTCGACCTCATAGCGTTTCACTTTTCCATGTAGAGTAGTGTGTCCTTTTGATATTCAAATCTTGACATCGTGATCGTACGAAATCATTTGTAATATATCCAATTTTTAATAACGAAGTAGTTATTGTAAAGGCGGTAAATCTGCAAGCTGCCAAGGAAAGATCCTTATAGACTGGTCAGCTTACAACTTACAGATATTAAGGAAAAGATTTCTCTACTTTTAGATGGACGAAATCCATTGGAACAAATAATCAAGTGAGAATTGTTGAAGGTGTGATTCACTTGAAATTACGTAGACAAGCCGCTCATTCAAATTTCACAATTTTTATTGTACATATAATATTCACCATTACAGTCTGACTATCGGCGTGTTTGTTCAAAAGTAATGTATATATTCCTTTGCGTACACGGTTGCAGTCGATTTCAAGGAAAATGGAAAATTTGAAAAATTCAAGTCGATTGAATATTCAGTCGAAAAGAAAAAATTGAATAGCTTTGCCACTCGACCATTTCGAATTTCCTTTGAAAAACCGCTTCTTTGTACTATGAAACTTTAGATATAGATCAAGTTTATCATTATATTCAGTTTGACTGGTCAATTCTAATTAAATATATTTCACTAAATAGGCGAAATTTGTGACGACAGACTTTTATATGCACTTTCGGAGTATAGGCACCTACAGATGTGTTTGCTCAAAAGAAAAAACCGTGAATCATATGTCGATCCGAGGTTAGAAGAAATTCAAACCTAATTTTAGTAAATCCGGTAAAGGTCTTTTATGTATTCGATAAAGATTTTGCAAATGCTTCCGTCTTTGAGATATTTCTAATTCGTTTTTTGTAGTAAGCTTCAGCCACATTCGAATCGTTATTAAGACATCGATTAAGCCTACCGAATGAGCTCATTACTTAGGTTCTTGTTGATGGTGATGTAGTAAGAATCGACTGAGGAAAAAGCGGGCCGAGTGACAGCGAAATTTTCGTTCTTTGATGGGCGTTTTGTTTGCTGTCGACCGTCCACGCCCCTATCGAAACTATGAAACCGCTAAACGCTTCTCGTTCTTGCTTAATCTTATTCGTGTAAGTCGCAGATTTTCTTGATAAAGTGAGTTTTCTCAAAGGAATTTCTGTCCGTTTACCTGTTTTTTCTTCCTAGAAAGAGCTTTCGTTTCCTTTTTAGAGAACCTATATTGTTCAAACCTCAATTAGAGGATTATATCCAATGTATATTTACTTAAGTAGTTTTGATTGTGAGATTTTGTAAAGATTTCCAAGTTTATTTGTTTATATAGTATAGCGGAGAGTGAGTGTGATGCAGTAGTGAGAAGAGTAGTGCACTGCTTGAGGTCTTTTATATGACTCTCCTCTTGAGCAGACCAAGTATATTGATGAAGTGGTTATCCGAGGATATACAGTGACCTGATTCATTAGCTGCCGGTACACCGAACCCATCCCAAAGCCAATTACGCATTCCATTACCTCAGCGATGCTCCAATGGAGTCACATGAATAATAAATCCCTAAGGAATTCATCAACGTTGAATGAGCTATCTTTCTATTTCTAGATTTTGGGACGTAAAGTGTTCTCTGGTGATCGTTCCTCAAGAAAGGAGCGATAGGTTAGAGTTCATTGAGCCCCGTTTCAGGTGACTAGATACATCTTTTGCCTAAACAATGACTTATGATGTACTTCTTTGAGTCAGTGCTGCTAAAATCTCAAGTAGAAGCAATTAACGGACTTCGAAGAGATAGAATTCTTTGTGAGCCCTAAACGCGATATCTCACCAACGACCACGGTGCTGAACGGCCCTCTAAGCATTGCACTAGACGCGTCCTTCGTTATCCAATCATACTTTCTTCATAGCGAACCGCGATAACTACTAGACAGAATAAGCTATCATCTAACCTATAATTTCGCCAAGATGTCCGCTAGCAGTAGTTGTAAATAATAAGTTACTGATATCTTCGTACATGCGGTGATAGGTGTGGAGAGACAATAATTTGTCCGTGTTTGTAGAATATCATTTATTCTGCTAAACACTCAAATAGGCTACCTGATAAGTGATGTAAGTAATTGTAGACAGATAATCTAGAAGATGATGACTGAAAAGGCCATTATGATTGACAAATAAGAATTGAATCCTAAAGCTTACAAAAAAAAACTAGTTGAAATGTAGTCTCCTGCTCATTAGTATTTACAACAATAATACTTTATACATTGCTGGTGAGCTAGTTGGTGCTACTGCTTAGTAATGTTTTCTGAATGTAAAGCCTATTTAACCCTTTCACAAGCAATAGTACTTCCGTGCAATTCAAGCCCGATATCTATGTTCATTCGATCGAGTCTTTCTGAGTAATCAGTAAACATGCGTTGTGGAATAATTTCTTGAGAACTGATTTTGAACTGATTCCTTGAGATTTTCGGTCTTGTTCAAAATAGAAGAAACTATGGGCTAAAACCACACAGAAGAGCGATATTTGCGATTTAATCGTGCACAAGCGGAAACCAAGATGCATTATCGTTAAATGGATAAAAGAATTATATTTGCATATTCATCTCATTCTAGTTATTTAGTGTCTATTTCAAATAAAAAAATTTGCTTGTGAAATGGATCATACCTTTACAATCGACTGCTTTTATGGACCTCACTCAGGACAATTATAATCTGATAACATATCTTGGGCGCTTCATGAGGTCTGTCGTGGCACTTATACAATGCCAGAGACGTGTTTTCACACTACAGCGTCATCAGTAGCACGGTTCCTTTCGGTTCAGCCAATTCCTTGCAAGGGAATATACCCTACACATAAAGGAATCGGCGCTGAATTAACAAATCACTACATCTCAGGTGATAAAATCCCCCTACATTGTAATGACCAACAGTTGACTGCTCATGGCTGGTGAAATGAATAAAGCCTTTACAATTGACTGCTCTCATAAAACCTTTTATATTTTATCACCTAACATGCGGTGATTTTGTGAATAATCGGTGTCGAACCTTCTTTATGTAAGGGTATAACTCTTACAAAGAATTGAGTGGAACGAACACGTGTATAGCACTTTGTAGGTGCCATAACAGACCTCATGAAAGGCTCAATTATGTAATCAGGTTATATATTCAAAAGTTTCCCTTTATTATGCATATTACTAATATGTGAATGGTAGATGCATGAAAGTCGATAAGAGTGTGGGAAGATGAAAGATTTTTCATATCATCCATTCAGATTTCTCACTACTACGTCTCAAATGACTCTCAGTTTCGATTCCCACCATGGTTGCAATTCTTCTCAATGTTGTTGACATTGAGCAATTCTTTTCTGTTTTTTGACTCGATGTTTGCATAGTTGGTTGATTAGTGATGTGAAAAATGTCGCCCCAATTATTTCAGTTTTGATGGTTTGATTGGTTTTCCCGCGATTCGCGTAGATTGTTGAAGAGAATCATGAAACCAAAGAACGCTGAAAGCCAGTGGGCAGAGTGTTGAGCATCAACACTAGCTTTGGGGCTAGAGCATGCATATAGCTGCGTTCCATTGCCGAGGATTGGATGCATACTTGGTCCTTTATTTTGCCATTGTTATTGATCCTTCTACACAAGTGTAATATCAATTATCCGAGTCCAATGGGAGCGAGGAACTTCATCTGCCCACAACGTGAGACCGAATTATTGACCACATGTTGCAGGGCACCTCTAGACAACGTTCGAACCTTACACTTACGTAAACGTAGATATAACGTGGCAATATGTCCACAAGATGCTGAGATACGTGCGAAACGTGGAACTTGAGGTGGCTTTGAACCCGCGATCAACCCTTCCCGGTGGCCTCGATGGTGCAGGGAAAAATTTCGTGAGCCCCAGAAAGGGCAGTCGTGGATTCAAAGCCACCTCCTTTCCAAGTCCTGCACGTATCTATGCACTACTGTAATTATACTTCACACCGTGCCCTGCGGCCAAAAATGACCGAGGCAGAAAATATATTCAAAAGTTGAGTGTCCAATGTTATTATCATTTATAGTCAACGTACAAACTTTATAATTTGTCAATAACTTTATTCTTTGTTGAAAATTATGCACGTACTGTTCGCCTGAATAAGATTCAATGCAAGTGTGTATAGCTGTTTGACAGTTTTCCATGAGCAAGAGGATAAACTCTCAGCGTTGATCAATCACTCAAGGTACACATTGCATTCGTCTTCAATTTTTAGCTTCTTTTAAGGTGATTGAATGCACATCTTTCTTCTCACAATGACTACCTGTGGCCTATTGCTGCACCGAGTCAGTACTGCTAATCCTCCCAGACAAGTCTGGTGCCACTTCACTTATTCCGGAGAGATGGATGGCTTGGCGAGCTATGAGTGCGAGGTCGAACCATCGAACTTGTGTGAGATGCGGAGCATCTCTAATCATTGCGCCACATGCACACTTTCCGTACGGCATTCAACAATCATAGACTTCACTGTTTCTTTTATAAAAAATTGTAGGAAGTTTAAGGAAGCAATTTTCCATTCTCCTCTATGCCTACAATATTCCGATTATTGGTGATTCCGTTGGACAGTACGAAATGAAAAACCGAACCCTTTCGCTGGAAAACAATTTTTCATAGGGATATTAGTAATCATTTGAAAGCTTAAATCTCTGACTAGCGCGATACGTGGCCGCTTTTTCAAAAGACTCATTTATAACGCTTCAGCAATGGGAGATCATATGTGTTTCACATGCGCCTTTTTTTCGGAAAACAGAGCTGTTTCTTTAAACTGGAACTGGATATAATATATAGTAAACCTACCGTCGTTCGTCATATTCGGCCTTCATAACCTCGCGGTGGCCTATCGATGCATCGAATCAAAGCTGGTATCCTCTCGGACAAGTCTAGACCAATTAGCCGACTGTAGGGGAACGGAAGACTTGATGAGCCTTGGGCGCGATTGAACTAGCGATCTTGTGTGTGTAGAACCGAATCTCTAACCACTGCATCACATGCGGCAATCCGAATGATCGCCAATTAATGTTAATGATGATTCTCCGTCAGCGTGCGTTTGTGGTCTAATGGTTAGCACGGATGCCTTCCAAGCATTGGACGGGGGTTCGATTCCACCCAAGCGCAAAGTCTTTTGCTGTTCGCAGAGAGTGAAGATTTTTGATTACTTGTTCGAAATCTGCCGCTTTGTCAGTGTTAAAACTGATATAAATCTCCTTTTGCGTCTGTTATCCCTTTGAAAATCAAACGGCACCTTTCGTGCCATGCTACGCGACGTCAAGTGCCAATCTTTCTCGGAGGAGCGGGAGGAGCTTATTTGTTGGAGGCGACTCCTAACCGCCTCCCATGTACTTCCAGTCGCCTGATTGCAGGCCTTTGGCCGACTCGATCCGCAGAAATAGGGTTTTGTCAAATCAGCGCTGCAGAAGCGAGGCTCATCCTCTGACACTCCGGTCGCTTTTGGTTCACATTTATTCTCCTACCCACCACCTGGGCCACGTGCCCTCGCGACTAAACGTTTGGGACCCCTCAAAGGAGGTCCGTGGAAGCGGATAATAATGTATAATAAACCTACCGTCCTTCGTCATACTCGGCCTTCATAACTCACGGTGGCCTATCGATGCATCGAATCAGTGCTGGTGTCATCCCGAACAAGTCTAGGACCAATTAGCCGACTGTGGGGAATGGAAGACTTGGTAGGCCTTGGGCGCGATTGAACTAGCGACCTTGTGGGTATAGAACCGAACCTCTAACCACTGCATCACATGCGGCAATCCGAGTGATCGCCAGCAAATGCTACTGATGATACTTCGCCAGCGTGCGTTTGTGGTGTAATGGTTAGCATGGATGCCTTCCAAGCATTCGACGGGGTTCGATTACCCCCAAACGCATAACTTTTGTTCTTTACAGAGAGTGAAGATTTTTGACTGCTTGTTCAAAAACTGCTGCCATATCAGTTTCGCACTAATCTAAAACACTTTTCCATCCACTTTATATTGAAGGTGCTACCATCATATGCAAATATGCTTAGCAAGGTGCAGTGACGGTTCGCGGTATGCGTTTGTGGGGTAATGGTTAGAACGGATGCTTTCCAAGCCTTTGACGAGGGGTTTAACTCCTCCCAAACCATCGGTTCTCTTTCTTGCGGACAGTGAAGATTTTCGATGGCTCTTTTGAAAAGTGCTACGATATTTGTTAATCTGACATGATCCTCCTTTTGCGTGTGTTCCCTCTAAGGTTTTGTGCCGTGCCGCACGACGAAAAATATTGCTCAGATACTGTAATGGCGTAGGCACTTCTTGTGGGAATGCAGGCGCATCTCGTGGGAAGACAGACGCAGACAGTATGACATCTCTGCGCGGAAACGCAGATGCCGCCGCTGCGAGTGCCGCACAAGTGACAGCGCGACTCCTTCGCTGGCCCTTGAAGGGTTAGTGATTAACCTTACAGGTGCTTTGTTATATCCGAAACACATGACTTGAACGGCCCGTTTTCACAAATAGTAAGCGCCCGATCACAGGGTAACTGTGCTCATTTATTGTTTTGTTCTCTAGAGTCCTGAGGTAGGCTTAGCCGGCAGCTTACTCAGATCGTCACCTAAATGGAGCAGTCGCCGGCTCTCGTGGATCAGAAGAAGATTACCACCTTGCGACTACTAGCTACCAAGACGAGGTCTACTCTTATTTGGGCTTTCTTGAAGAAACGTCAAACTTTTTCTCACTTTGAGTGGCTCTGCTAAGGGGTTGAACACCTGCAGCACTTTGCATTCGATCCTCAGGAACACCTCCCAGCGACGACGTAACGCTAAACTACCTGAGAGGTATCTGGACAGAGGATAATCTACAAAAATGAATCACTAGGCCTTGATCACTTTCTGAGAAGTGCGCTTTGTCTTTCGCTTACATCAGGTATAGCTAAAGGAGGTGAATGTATACCTGGCCTTAACAAACAGCTTGCGGTGTCCCACCGGTCTATCAGCTTTGTGCAAAAGCGGTGGCGATTTATGCATTGTTCAAATTTGGCATCTAATGTTGGAACACATTCTTAAATAAATGTGGTCACGTTATATAAAGTTTTAATGCGCTTTTCTAGCTTTATGTTTTTTGCTAACGGCTTCTTACTTATTGCTTCTTTATAATTATCTTGGGTTCAATTATGTTATACGGTAGAGAATGAAGAAACGGTACCGCTGGACAAGAATATTCTGTAAAAGTACAAGTAATAGTTGGAAAGCTTAAATCTCGGGTTAGTGGTGTACGTGCTCGTTTGGCCAACGAAACTTTTTGTAGCGCTGTAGAACTTAAAATAAGATTGCGTTTCACACACTCCACGTGCTTTTTTATCAATTTGCTTATATCTTGTTGAACAAAACTCTTACCCTAAAGTGGCAGTTTTCAGACGTTAGATCAAATCTCGGAGAAATCAAAATTGTGTTTGCTTTTCAAAAAAGCTTTCTCAACGGCGCTGTAGCAAAAAAAAAAGTTTTGCTTTTTGCACAAGCGTATTTCTCGCAGGACAGAAGTCGTCCTTCAATCATACGCAAAATCCGATAGCGCATCTTCCAATTGTGCTTATTTCTAAGAAAATCGTTTCACTGCAGTGTAGCAGAAAAGACAATAATGAGTACCACATACGCTGCGCATTTGCTTTTCGTCACGGTGTGTGCTTAGCTGTGTATCGATCGATACGCGACCAATCGATCACGCGGGCGCGGCTCATATGTGTTGTGCGATTTTCGTTATTGAGTTTGAAATTTTTCTCCGCTCTGATGAGAACTACAGATAAAACGTAGGATTCTGTTACTACAAGATTTCCTTTACACGCTCATATGCTTTTTGTGCTGAGAGCGCATTTGATAGCATGACAAAAAGAAAATCGCATGGTGGTTGTAAAACATGGTCTCATTAGGATGCTACATCACTATAAAAGGCCTTTTCAAAAAACGAGCACCTATAGCACAACGATGAGCTTTTTGTGCTTTCTAATGATTACTAACATTCTCATGTTAAATCTGTGTCCAGCGAAAGGATCGTTTCTTCATTTCCTGCTGGATAACGGATTGATTCCTTTAGTCTATGCGAAAGCTATTAGATAAGAGAAAACAGGCGATTTTCTTGTTCGAGTTGGAAACGGGTCGTAAAGCAGCACTGACATTTGCAATGTTGACAACGCATTTGGCTCGGGAATTACTGACGAACGTGGACTGCAGTAATGGCTTAAGCAATTCTATAAAGGAGACAAAAGCCTTAAAGATAAAGAGCGTAGTGGCCAGCTAAGGAATGTTGGCCATGGCCAATTGAGCACAATCATCGAAGTTGATCCTTTTGTGGCTACAAGAGTTGATCCTTTTGTGGCTACAAGAAATATTGCGAATGAACTCAACATCAACCATTCTACAGTTGTTCGCCGCCTGAAGCAAACTGCAAAAGTAACTCCGCTCCTAGACCGGTCCAAATCCGCAATTTCTTCCGCACCAACCTGGTATTAAGTCAGTGTTACTATCCTCCTAAACAAGTCTGTTACCTACTCTTAGCTCCAGGGTGATGGAGGTTCAGTGGAGCTTGAATGCGGGGATCGCACAAGCTACCACGTGTATGGCGCAGTGCACTTCCACTGCGCAGCACTCGCCTTTCTACATAATGAAAGTAAAATTAATGAAGCTCATTTCTTCATGTTTCCGTGCTCTGTAAATTCTGCCATCACACAGCAAGAAACTCTTTCCACCTGAATGTTCCTTGAGCATTCCGGGGCCCGGCTTCACATCTGTTGAACTGTTCCCAGCATTCATAACATCCGAGCAGTTTCCTCGCACACATCAGCCACAATCTCTTCGCAGATTTCATGCGTGATTACGGTTGGCGCTGAGGGTTTTCGTCTTTCTCATGGACGTCATTGAATGCTGGCTAAGCTAACACTCCTTAAACTTCTTGGACAGCCATTTCACAGGTTCTTCATCGACTGGATGGAGTGACGTGGGCTTAGACAGATTTGCTTCCAGCTTTCTGACACCGGAGAGGTGAAGCTTTTGGTGAGCCTGAGTTAGAATCGAGCCAGCATCATGACCTGCGATGGACGGCATCACTACTACCACGCTGCCTGTCCGTGTGGTTTTTTTTTTCAGGATATGGCTTTGACAGCATGAGTTCTTATCAGACAGTAGAAGTTGAGTCAATAGTGAGAACCATATCAACAGCAGAACTAGAGCTTTGTCACTAACGAAACTCCTCAACTCCAGATTTGTTGTTTTACTTCTACGCAGCACTTATAATTTGCATACTCTTTAACACTAATTTAGCTAAGATTCCGGTTATTGAAAAAGAGGTCACGAACCGTCATTCATAAAAACCGTGTGTTGCTTCTTCACCAGAAATCCACGCTCTTCACATAACCCTTTGGGTTTCAGCAGTCCTCAGACTCAGTTTACGTGATTGGGGAAATCCTTTTTCTTTTCTATATGATATCTCCCATCCACATCGTCACAGTTCTAGGTATTGTAGGCCTACCTAGCAACCACTGTCTGAAGGCGGATACGTCCCATTACCTGAGATTATGGTAACTCTTTAGCAAGACGTCATCCGTGAACAACACATGTCTTTAAGTGGTTTTCATTATGAAAAATAAGGAACCCAAAAGTAATTAAATTTTAGTTATCTTCTGGAAGTGTTTGAGTGCTGCTATATGAGGCAAACAATGGCACCCAGCGCAAGAGATGACTCATACATAAAAAATTTTCAGTACAAATATATGCAACAAGAACAAAAACAACGTGAAAAAAACCGCATGACATACTAAACACCATCCTTGAAAAGATCAGAAAAATTACAGTAGCATAAATGGAAAGCACACTACAACAGCGAAGAGGTAGAGAGTGTGAAATCAAACTATTTGGAAAAGAATGTAGTATAAACGTTTGGACAACAAAGGATATAAGGCACCAATCGTCGTATACGATACACCATAAAGTGTAGAAATAATTGCTTCAAAATGAGTAGCTCATAAACAATACAAACTATTTTGAAAAGCTAAAAAAGAACTTGATATATTGATACTACACAACTTCGAACATGCAATAATGTTGGATAAATCTCGATGCTACACTTCAAATTATGTGTTCATTAACTTAAGCA